TGCCCCAATTCACGTCCCTGCCCCAATTCATGTCCCTGCCCCAATTCATGTCCCTGCCCCAGTTCACGTCCCTGCCCCAATTCATGTTCCTGCCCCAATTCATGTCCCTGCCCCAATTTACGTCCCTGCCCCAATTCATTCCCTGACCCAATTAATGTCTCCCATGTACCAGCTGCATGCCTCTATGTAACACATATCCCCGCTACATGCCCTCTGGCATTTTTCAACACAGCCTAATAGCGAGATATCTCTCTGTCTGTCTGTCTGTCACAGGTTCATCGGCTGGTCATAGTGGATCCCAATGATCGCTGTATTGGAGTTTTATCTTTATCAGATATTTTAAAATTTCTCATTTTAAAGCCAACAGGTATGTTCCTGGACACTAGATCACATTTTGGGGTTTCCTTTTCTGGGTAAAGACTTGGATAAATTTAAAAAAGGGCAATCTACTCTTGCTCACTCTCCAGTGGCGTATCTAGAACAAATTCAAGGGGGTGGCTGTTACCTAGAAAGGAATAATATACCACCTGTTTTGAATTTAACCTTAACCTTTGTTATTATTTTCATATATACTTAAGGCAAGAGAAGGTTGTACCCAATCTTAACCAGAATGAACCAAGTTCACTATCTCATTCATTAAAGGCCCATTGATCTTGGCTGGAAAACTGATCACGTGAATAGGCCCTTTGTGAGTCCAACAAACAAGTTTCATTATGGGTCGCTTCCAAACAAACACCACTACATAAGGCAGGACAGGGTTGTACTCAATCTTAACCAGAATGCACCACGTTCGCTATGTCATTAAAGGCCCATTGATCTTGGCGGGAAAACTGATCACGTGACATGTAGACATTTGTCTTAAAGTTCTCACGTTTTGTTTGTTTATCTTTAATCTAGGTGCTCAGTCTCCAAAGCAGTCTTAAGCACGAAGAATGCACACTGGAGCGAACAGTCTTACTCTTGAGACGAGATTCTTTGATGGAATCAATGTAATGAGTCAGTTGTCTTCGTAGTTGTGTTTTTTTAAGGTATAAAAATCATGTTGACATGTGGGAGCTGCTTTGGTATGAGTGGAGCAAATATGTTGTTTGGTCGTTACATCATCGCCGCCGACATCGTTGGTGTTATTATAACAAAAAATTTCTCGTTAACCTCCTTTGTTAATATCACCAACATGACCGCCATGTGTTTGTAATTTGGCCTTCTTTAGAATGTCCGCAAACCAACAATACGACATATTTTTATGATCCGCATGCGTTTCAAAAACGCAAAAACATTTGTGAAGCCATTTCAATGTAACGGTATTCGTGGGATGCGTGTAATGTCATATCCGCAATTTTGGTTATTTAAAAAAATGATTTGGTGTTGGTGTCTTTTGTCATATCAACCAACATGGCGGCCACGTCTGCTGTCCTCCCCCCCCCCCCCCCCCCCCAATTATATCTTTCATACGTTAATGTTTATTCGGGTAAAATGTCAATGTATTTTATTATACACGATACCGAATTAAAAAAAGTCTGTCTGTCTAACCGCAATTTTGGTTGATTTTTACAAAAGATTTGGTGTTGGTGTCTTTGTTTCATAGTGCAGTTTTCGTATGACTGTGAAAATTTCAGTGCCGTAAGCGTGACGTGCCGTGACCGTGATACTTTCTAGAATTTTAATTGGCTGATTTTTTTTTCACGCGCAATATGATTGGTCTAAAAGTGCCGTGATCTTGGCGCGAACGTGTCCGCGCCGTGTTCATGCCGTGTTCCGGGTATTTGATTGGATGGAGAGTAAATTCTTGTGCAATGTGATTGGTCTGGCGTATCCCTTGATGTGTCACGTCCGTGTTCGTGCCGTGAACTTTTCACAGTCATACGAAAACTGCACTGTCAACCAACATGGCGGCCACGACTTTCGTCACGAAGGTCACGAAATGGAGGGTACCTCATTTCCTCTCCGATAAATCGGGGATTGGTGGTGTGCATAGGAACTTTAATAATTCTTTATGTATACACCTACTTGCAAGAACGTTAATAATTTAGTGAGAAAGAAATACATTAAAGGACAAAAGAAAAAGTTCAGCTGCAGTGATCGTCTTTTGTTTTTTAATATGATTCCTATCCCACTAAATCACTAAGGCCTAGGGCAAACGTCGAACTTTCCATGCACCGAACTCATTAAAAACAATGGATATCAGGTGATAATGAGGCGGCATTCTTTGATGTAATTAAGTTCGGTGCATGGGAAGTTCGACGTTTGCCCTAGGCCTAATGTTCTATTTTCGTATGACAACGTTCTTGCAAGTAGGTGTAGATCAAAAATAACAATATGGACCTGAATATAGCCAAGAAATTTTTGCATAACACATTATTTTCTAGGAACTCTTAAATGTAAATAAAAAAATTGAAGATTTGGAAATCCCCGTATTTCAACACATTAACAATCAGCTCGCTCACCCTATCTCGTGCTTAAACATTTCTAAGAGAAAAACCTTTTTCAATTGTACTAATGTACTTTACAAAAGATAACATTGTACTATAGGCCGTTTGCATAATGCATGATAGCGTCATTTTACTACCACTACTAAGGCCCCGTCCACGCGTATCCGGAATTTTTTTTTTACGGATACGGGTTGCGTCCACACGTGTCCGCAAATTTTAGTGTCCGTATCCGCAAATTTTACGAAAACGAATACGTGTTGACGGTGAACGCAAACATTTTCTATTTTTTGCGGATACAAAAATTTCCGGATACGTGTGGACGGGGCCTAAAATGCTTCGCGAATTTTTTCAATTTTTTTATTCTCTCGTGAGAGTAGAATAGTAAGAATGTGTGCAAGGAATTATGGTAGTGGTAGTAAGTGACGTCATACTGCAAGTGTCCTATTGCATTACTGTAGAGTGCACGTCATATATCTGTGTATATCATATATATCATAGTTTGGGTTACCTGTGTGCAAATCCCAAGAAACATTTGTTTGTAATCTTGGAGGGAGGGGTCGGGGATATTTTGGTTTGTTTGGACATAACAGGTATATGACATGCAATAGGATGTTATTGTTTTCGATGTCAAACAAAGAACAAAGTTAACATTTATACTTGAATTTAATAATTCCAATGTAATGTATTTTCATTTTATCGATATATTATTATTAGAAACTGCTATATAGCTTAGAAAAACATTGTGTTGAAAAACTGAGGGCATTTTAAGTTAAACAATAATTTAAAATGTCTATAAAGAATTTTATGATCAGGATTTATTTCTATAGCTTTTGTTATCGTATGCCTATAGATACGAGCCTTGCACCGAGCCCCGAGAGCAATCGTTCTGGGGGACAAAACAATGGATTCAAATTTCAACTTGCTTCGAACTAAGAATAAGTAGAGCAATTTCTTGGCAACCAAAGGCGTCTTCCAACCAGTACGTTTAACAAACCCAAGCAAACGATTGGCTTTTTTTTTTTTTGAAATGATATCAATGTGGTTATCCCGCTTAAAGTCGTGTGAAACCCCAAAACCAAGGTCAGTGTAACCATTTACACTATCAATTTGACCATCACCCATGTAATAGGGATAAGTCACAGGACTAGAGGATTGAATTATGCGCATGATCTTACACTTCTTGGAGTAAAAAGACATCCCCCACGAATCACCCCCATTTCTTTATTGCTGAGATATGTTCAAAATTAAGACAATCCTCAAAAGTAGTGATTTCCCGAAAACACTTCGAATAATCAGCAAATAAGGCCATGGCCCGGACGGGCAGGGTCCATGGTAGCAACAGAAGAAATAATGCCCGGGAGATMGTTAATAAATAACAAGAAAAGAAACGGACCTAGGATTGACCTCTGAGGCACTCCTGAAGCCACAGGTAGCTAATCAGAGGAGCTTCCTTCGACAACTACTCTCTGTCGGCGCCCAGCAAGGTAGTTGGAGAAACATGACAGCAAACTGCCATTAAATCCATAATGCTTAAGTTTGTACRAGAGGAGGCTGTGAGGCACAGAATTTAAACGCCTTCGAAAAGTCGATCTAAATAATACAACATATCAACTTGACCAGTTGAGTCAAGGATCTTCCCGATACGATGCAAGAGTCAACCATCTGTGTGGTACACGATCTACCCTTGACAAAACCGTGTTGGAGGAAATATAACTTGTGTTGCAAAATAGGATAGATAATATCGAGAACACATCTCTCCAGCACTTTGCTAGTAACCGACAACAGGGAAATTGGACGATAATTATCTACAACATCCTTATCACCCTTCTTATGAACAGGAGTGACATTGGCTTCCTTCAAACCCGATGGAAGTATGCCTAATTATAATGACTTATTGTTGAATAAGGCGCAGAGCGATGGAGAGAGAGCGTCCGCGCATTCCCTAAGCACCCAAGGAGAGAGAGATCGTCAGGGTAAATGGCCTTATTTGGGTCGAGATTACTTAATACTGATCTAACCTGAGAGACTGATAGTTGGAGAACACTAAGTGATGGATTTGCATAATTGGCATTGCATTCAAAAAAAGATTTAATTTATTATACATGTCATTCCAGCTATTCTTGGATCTTGGAATGACCTATCTCCCATCGCTTTTCGCTTATCACCTTTGGCGATGACAACGTTTATTGCATGCAATAGGTGTATAATGATCAGCTATGTTTAAAATGTTCACCATATTTTCCTTATCTTTCTTTCTTTCTTTCTTTCTTTCTTTCTTTCTAATACTATATTGAACTCTCCCTTAGGGCTTTTCAGAATCTAACTACATGCAAGTAATATTTTAAATATGTATATGGTACGAAAATTATAAAATATATAGCATTAAGGAAATGTCAAGCCATGCACAGAGCACACTATTAATTTGGTAACTCTTTCCACATAGTAACTGCGCTGTACAGATTGCGTGTTTTTCCTTCCTTTCCTCCCCTTTTCCATTTACCGCCAAACAGCTACATGATAAATTACTCGTGGATCACAAGTTCATTTAATTTTACACACACACACACACAGACTTTAAAACTTCATTAATCATATCATTTTCGGCCAAGATGTTTAAATGACTTGGAAAGCGGCGAGCGACATAAAAGCCGGAGATCTGAACTAAAAATATACCTAAGTAACTATGTACAACTGTCACAACCGTTTGCCCTGATGAAGAGCAAGATGCTCGAAAGCTTGGCTTGATTTATAATTAAAAAGCTGATGAATCAAAACTATCATGAATCTTAACTCGGCTTACAAACACTTATTGGAACTATGTACCTGTTGATCAAACTACCATATCCTTTCGACAAGAGAGTAAACAACATAGAGAAATTTGTTTTTGAGTTCGTTTGGTCCAGAGCACCAACCCTAATTAGGTCAAAAGGTAGACGGTTAAACGTTCGCTACGTTTGAAGACCCTATACATTATGAAGTCAAGCATGCAATCGCTTACCCAATAGGCAACGAAGTACAAATCAACAGACTGGTGTTTTTTTGGACTTTAACAGGTGATGAAGATGTTCTCTTGACAAGGCACCGGCAAAACTAGCACCAGTCTTTCTTCTCAAGTATCCTTGAAAAGCCATTGATCTTTGTCTTTTCAAGGGAATATTTTTCCAATACTTTATTCTTGAAGCCTTTGTTAATCACTCGTGAAAAATCTATTTTCAGTGCGTCTGGGAAACCGTTAAAAGCCGCCAATGTTCTGACTGTATATGCTGGAGTGAAACCGTATCTGATTTTTACTGGACGGATCGTATCTTCGTACTCAACAATGCAACGCAGGTTATAACTGATCGAGTTAAAACTAAGCCGTAAAAATTCTATAAAAATGGTGTCGAGGCGTCGTCTAATCTATTATACAATTCTTTTGACTTCTTTCTTTTGGATCTTTGGGACTATAGCATTCTTATTTCTCCAATCATTGGAGGTTAACATCGAAGTCAAACGCAAAAAACAAGTGGAATACTTCAATAAGCCGGACTGGAATATCAAAGTGGAAGATTTAGAATTAACACCTCCACCTATCCCTGCACCAAGGAAACATCCTCAAAAGAGAAATAAAGTCGAAGGAAAACCATCGCTTAAAGTGCCTAAAAAAATAATCTACGCTGCAGCCGAATATGAACATTATCCCCCGGGAGCGAAACTCGATGGGCCCGGTGATGGAGGCGAAGGGGTGACAGTAAGTTCAAAGCTCAAGAAGAAGGAAGAAGAAGGGTATGATTTACACTCGTTTAATCTGGTAGCTAGCAACATGATGTCTTTTCATAGAAGGCTTCCGGATTATAGAAATGACGTGTAAGTATATGTCAGCAGCTGTTAAAAATCATTGTAGTGCCATTTATTATGATAATATAATAATTAGGATTTATTGAGCGCTTTTTCCGTAGAGTTCAATTTTTAACATAATGCAACTCTAATTTCAGGGCCGTAGCGCCTATAGAGGTCGGGGCATTTTTTCCCACTAAAGAAAACAAACAAACAAACAAAAAGATAACAATGTCTAAATATCATTGGGCATTAAATCCTAATTTTTGCTAATAACATCACTAAACGTTGCAAGCCGAAAATAAGCAATACCAGCTTCTTCAAATGTTCACTGATTGCCCTCTTGCTCGTTTCTCTTGCTCGTTTCTGATTCATTTCTTTGTGATCACGTGTTGCGAAGTGACGTTGTCCCCCCCCCCCCCCCCCCCCCAAGTTTTTCAAGACCTCCTACATGAACTTTATAGAAAAAGACTGATCAAAGCCAAGTTTTTAGACTCTAGAACTGAAATTCCAAGTAACTTGAACCTCGATCCACGGCTGCTTTGCAGCACACTAATAAAAGGGATCAATGAAAGCAGAGAGATTCAGATCAAGGAGAAAGTAAAACTTCTCAGAGGCGTTGGCAATATAGAAAAAATTTCAATTCAAAAGCCAATCCAGTGCAAGAGGACGAATATCTAGCACAAAGCATGATGGGAAACCGAGTACTACGTTTTTTTTTGACTCCTTTAAAAAATCGTATGACTATTTTTCCTTCGATATTTTCTAGGGAATTTCAGTAAATTTCCTTGTTCAATTTTTGCAATACTCGGTTTCCCATACTAGCTGCCGGCCCTGCAGTTGATGAGGAGTTTGACAGTTTGATACACATGCGTTGCCTATTAAGCAGCGATGCTCTCTAGAAGTTGAAATCATTAGGACAATTGCAATCTAAGTTGAGGTTTTATCCTAAGGGCACTTCTGTTTTTCCCAGCGTGTGATCATGAGAGTTGTGTGGTTATAGAATAATAATTGTAGTGGTACGTAGCAGTGAGTGTGGAGTGTATCGTATACGTTAACATTTGACAGCATCTGGCTTAGTATCAGCGAACTTGCCTGCAAGACGGGCCTCGGTATCACTGACGACCCTCATGCAGTAACAACCTCAAGGACTGTGCATGTTGTTCAGTTCTTGTTGGGTTTGTTCGTTTATTTGTATTTTTCTTTTAGTTCATTTTGTTTGCTTTCTTGTTTGTTTGTTCGTTCGTTCGTTTTTTGGGAAGCACGGGTGGAATAGCGGTGACGAGCGCTCGCCTCTCTCATCAATGCTACCCGAGTTCGAATCCCGCCCCGGGTTCGGTGATGTTGTATGTGAGCAGAGTTGCTAGTATAGTTGGTTTTCTCCTGTGCTTTGAGAATTTTTCTCGGGTTCTCTGGTAGTTCTTCCGGTTCCTTCCTTCACAAAAATCAACTCCTAAATTCCAGTTCGATCATAGAACGATGGCCACATGTTTGTCTGGCTCATAAAAAAAGGACTGTTTGTTTGTTTGTTCGTTCGTTCATTCATTCATTCGTTCATTGCCGGATTCGCTGGTTCGTTCTTAACGTTATCAAACGGTCATCCGGCATTGAAACGTTTTTCTGGGAATAGAGCCCTGTATTTTAGAGGAACACTCATTTCAGTCTATTCTTAATTTATTATTGAGGATCATAACATGCACTAAAAGCGAGTGAAGTCCACACGTTTTCACCGCCCTCAAACAAAATTAAATCTAAAAATGGATCAGACTTCCTAAGACGTAATTCTTCAGTAATGTTCATCTAACTGAGTGAACCGAAGGGCTAATTATATATTAATATTCTAGAAAGCCATACCAATTCTTAAAAGTGGTTATTTCTGGGGGAAAAGAATTAATTGAGGACACATGCTAAGTTTTTTAAGTACTACACTAAACTATGATAGCGTCCAAACATATCTCCATGGCAGCCACACTTGTCACGCAAAGCTAAATGTCGGATCTGTAAATTTTCAACTTCCCTCGCTGTTAAATTTCCTATAACAATCGTAGCTTCTTCCGTCTTGTAATGCCTAAGTAATCTTTTCGACATTTATTTTCACTAGAAGTACAACTTTATAAACAAGATTATGGATAGAGCGCCATAGCTATGAATTATTTTACAAGTTTTTGATACAGCTGTCACAGTTGGTGTTTTCTGCGCTCGATATTGTTTTAAGACATGGCGTTGCTAAGAACGCTAGCTCGCTCAAGTTCAAGCCTAGAAGTTTCCATATGTGCTTTTTACGAGAATTTTTCTTATTCATAATTAAGATATAATGAAAAGAAAGCACATCTACAAATTAACAAAAACTTTAACAGTAAAAACATTGCAACGGAAAATACAGGCAGATAAAAAAAATAAGGAAATTAAATGAGAGTGGGTACTAATCAAGTAAAAAGGAATAGAAAACAAAGCTGTAGGATTTGTAAACCGGAGTGGTAACAATAAGAAACACCTATAAATTTTTAGTGAGCTATAATTTTCAATTTGAAACGATTGCCATTTTTTACAGCCACTAGTTTAATAATCCCGCCAAAAGTGCGCGTTTGGCTCAAAAAGGCGCGGGCCTTTCGATTCCTTGATTTCCGTGCACTTAACTTATGATGTAAACCGGCATATCACGAGTTTTCTCATATTTTCTCCCTCAACAAAATCTCGCCAAATTTCATTAATTTTTTTGGTTTTGTTGAACATTTTGACCTCCCTTATACATACTGTACCGGGTTTTGGGAGTTTCGACTTTCTTTGACTTTCTTTGTCATTGAAAAAATGTCTTATTACTATTGATCCCCATCCCGCCGGCCTTCATCTACTCATGGTCCGCAGTCTTTCCCTTTTGAATCCGATAATGCCATTTTTTTAGTTTTCATAGTTTTCCTCTTGTTTACGATTTCTTATTCTGTACGTAGCATTATTTCAATTTCAAGCGACACTTTCAAGCGAGAACTGAAAGTTAGCTTGTGTTCGGCGCCGCGTTTTGAAGTGGTCTCTGGCCGCCAAAGCCGCCTCGTTTTTCAGCACATCTTCGACATAGCATTTTCGCTTTCAACAGCCGGATGATCTACAAGAAACAACCAGCGCCTTAATTTGGCCGACAGAGCCACGAACAAGATATATTTGACAGAAGCAAGCGACAGGAAACTTTAGTCACAATGCCTCAGGGGACAATACGATCTACCTTCCCGGTTTGGTGCGCTAACTGATTGATGATTACAGTTTTACAAAATCTTCGAATTCTGAACCTAGCTATCATATCTTGGCTCGACAAATGTAATTTCTCAATAAAATAATCCCTGATTTTCAGTTTCTCAGTAAATGACCAGTAAATCAATTGGTTTCCAATTTAAACCCAGATAAACTTAATTTTGTAAAAACGAGTGATAAAAAAACTGCGATGCCTGATTTGGATGATTGGTCTGCATTCAAAGCAGTGAGTTTCCTTTAGATCTGTTTCTAATTGTTTTGYGAGAAAAATCATACGACGTGACTGAAAAGTTTTTAAAAACCCCTCTAAGACTCTAAATACATGAGAGCAATTATAGTAACTTTGGCTATTTTAAGATAAAACTTAGTAAATATGAAAACAAAAATGGTTAGGTTTGCATCTGTGAAGATTGGAAGTAGAAGCAAACAACAGATGGAAAATTAATCATATTTTTGGAGGTACCACGCCATTCGATATACCTTTTGTCTTATAATTGTTTTTCTTTTATATCTAACCCAGAGGTCCAATTCATCAATTATTAATTATGTCATTTTTAAAAAGTGGTTGTTTTTCATAATTTATCATCTTCAAACTTTTACTTTCGAAAATAAGCAAAGATTATATAATTGTTTAGGTTCAGTTAGTTAGGCAGAATATAATTTATTTCTAGAGGACCCAGATTTTACAATGTCAGTCAATGTAACATCTTTGGGGTGCCAGTTGATAGCAATATGTGTCATGTAAATCAAGTTGATTTTGTTCTTTTTCATTTTCATTACCACACAAAGCCTGAACCACAATATAATTTTTTTGTATAGTTTTTTGGGGGTTAAAAGTGCGAGTTGGCAAATGCTTCTGGTTCTTTCGGCACCGAATGACAGAATGAACGATCATTGGTTGAATGGAGTGCGCATGTATTGCCGTATACTATTTATATACCACTCTCTTACACTCTGTCCTGTCTAGTGCATAACCCCATACATGCGGAAACCAAATGTATTTAACTGAATTCTCAACTTGAGGTCATTTACTAAGATAGAAGACACGTTCCATCAAAGGAGCAGTCTCGATGCCTGGAAACTATGAAACTTGGACGAGTTGTAACCATGACTGGCTTGAGTAGGAAGCCCTTCTTCATGATCATGTCGTGTTTATGCAGATGAACCGAAGTGTCTCCGAGAAAAACAACCACTATTTAAAAAAATCTCGAAGAATTCGTGTGATAATGACACGAAAACTTATGTGAGAAATGCATGAAAGGACAGATAAGACATGATTATCCCAAAGAGAAGAATAGTTTTTTATTTTGTTTTACTCACGTCTGTCGCGTGGGTTTACCTCGCTTCATATTACTTGTTTAATAAGGCCAAAGGAAATGAGTTAGACATTTTAGCACAAAGTAATCGCTTCAACCAAGAGAAACATTATGCAGGACTTGAAAACACTTCGAATCAAGGATACATCTTTGCCACTTATGATAAAACCCCTGACAGAAATCCGGATAAACCCGGCGAATGGGGAGCTGGTGTGACACTAAATTTCCTCGACAAGGAGAAGGAGAAAGAAGGCTACGCTGGTTATGCATTTAACAAAGCAGCCAGCGATAAGATATCCCTCGAGAGAAACCTTCTAGATTTGCGAAATAGCAAGTAGGTATTAGTGTTATCTTAAGCTAGAGTTTTCATTAGGCGATTGCGAGTTATTAGCCGTTGAAGCGCGATATTGTTGTAATTTTGTTGTTATGTGGTCACCGACAGCTCGTCTTTAGACTTCAGGTCAAGAACACTCATTCCTGTTCAAGATAAGCGTATCATATATCTCGATTTACTGTTGAAAATACCAGTGTTAATTCCCAAAAGCCTCAATATAAGTCTTTTGAGAGTTTGACTTGTCTATCTCTGATATTTCAAGTGCTATATTTAGAGAAGATCGCTTATACTCGTAAATGCATTACCTGCACACGTGTTCCTCTTAAATAAGTCCTCAAAAGAATCGATCTCCTAAAACTACAGCCCCAACGCTTGTATCTTGGTTTCCCTTCGATTTTTAGCCCCTTGTCAACTACTTGAGCGTTGTTGAACCTTGGAGGGTACATTTTAAGCTGCAGTGCTTGACAGCATTCTACTATATTAATGGTAATAGAGATCAATAATAATTTTAACGCTTGTAATTGTCGTGGTGATATAGATTTTCTTTTTTAAACATTGGAATGTCATTTCAAAGTTCTAAGCCTGATTTAGCTTTTTCAAATCGTTGTCACTTATTATATAATCGAAGTATTTACGACATTCTACTCTTAAACACACACAAAAATGAATAATTATATAAATCAACAAACTAGCTAGTGAGACGACATATTATTGGCCACTATCTTTAAATCTTTCTTGATTGATTCTACTATCATAAACGTTTCAAATTTATTTGCCCACGACAAAGCAGTTCGCGAGCTTTTTTGATCGTTCATATTAATCTTCAATACGTGGATATTTTTGTGGATATTTTATTGAAAGTATATATGGAGCAATACATTTAAGAAATACTAATGAATAATTTATCGTTATTGACCTTTTTCGTTATCATCGTTTTCTGATAAAAATCAATTTATCTTGTTGGTTCAGTTCATTTTCTTGACCAAATTTTATCTATTTGTTAGAGAAAGCACTTGATTCCTAGATTCGATTCCTAGACTCATGCAGAATATAGGTACAGCTTATAGGTATCAAATCTGTCTCTTGATTTTAGGGTTTTTCTCTGATTTTCCTCCCRCTGCAAAACCTAATTTCAATCAGCTGTATCAGTTTTTTAACATAGAGCTGTGTCTTGACTTTGATCAGGGTCTTCAAATAACTAAAGGGAAAATACAGCCTTTTGGCATTATCTCATTTTACCACTTTCTAACATGAAAAAGAGACCAATCCCCTGACGTCAATCAGGTTGAAGGATATAGTAGAGTATATTTGAACTTAAATTATAATATTTCATGAATATAACCAGTGAGAATACAGACGTGGTCAAAAGTTTCAGGAATGCTTCCATTGGTCAAAATGCATTTGCAAATTAAGATAATTCATATTTCACGAAGGCATGAAACACAAGAAGAAGTTCGCATCTTAAACTATAGTTTTTCTAAAGGTCTTGTAGTCGATAACAGAATTAATAATTCTACTTCAAATAAATGTCCTTCTTGTCTGAACCTTGAGATTATTAATTTTATGAATCTCTACAAATGTTAAGTTTAAATCCATAATTATCATACATCTTCCTCTCCAGTTGAGCAATGAATTTGTTTTTAGCCAATCACAGCACGTTTAGCTGTTTTGCTGCCGACCCTCATTCCCAAACTTTTGAGTATTTTTCTGTTTTCTTTTGACTTAAACATAATATACGTGCCTACAAAAGGCAGAAATATGAAAAGGAAGAATGAAAACAATTTCATTTTACAGCAGTGGTTGCTTCATTATTTTAAGCTCCAAATGTCTAGTCATTTTGTCCTCTCATGCTTTGTGCACTGCATTCACAGCTCAGCTACTAGCTCAGTGTGGAACATTGACTTCTATTGGACATGAATTTAAAAATTTAATACTAGATAAGAAAATTCTAATAGTCATATTATTATCTCACTCGATCATCTTTATTGTTATCCCRCAGATGTAAGAGCAAGAAATATCCTATTCACTTACCCAAAAGTAGTATAATTATCTGCTTCCATAATGAAGCTTGGTCGACATTATTAAGAACAGTACACAGTGTTATTAACAGAACACCACCACGACTACTAGAAGAAATTATTCTCGTTGATGATTTTAGTGATAGAGGTAATGTATGCATGGGAGAATTTAGGGATCAGAGAATGGGGGCTGGACAAGATTCTTCCTTTGACTTCCATTCCAGCATGAAAGGAATAATACTCAAGGAAATGGCAAGTTCTCTGATGGCAAAAATCTGTTAGCATTAAATTCATGAGTTTTCCTCCTTTTGGGTGAAGAAAGAACTCAAAATATTATGAAGAGCCACTTTTAAATTCCATTTATTACTCGGGCTTTCGAAGAAATGCCCGAGGTATAAATTGGGCTTCCTTATTTTTTTTCTTCAGTCACAAATCGCCCTCGAAGCCCTAAGGCGCATGGGTCAAATCAAAGTCTATGCGCATGCATAGAATCAGCCATGAGCACATGCTTGAGTAATGGCGGATATAGGGAAGTACTCGTCGCTGTTTCAAGTAATGAATAATATGGAGTCTCACACCCTCAACATTTTTAGCACGCATGATTTTGCACAGACTTTGCACCATCTAAAAGGGTGACAATGTTCACAAAGAATTCTTTCGATTTTCTGCTATGAAGCCCGAGTTCACGCAGATATGCGTCTAGTTATTTTATATTTTATCTATAGCATTATAACAATATTTTCTTCTTTTTTTTTTTCCTAGATGAATTAAAAGAAAAGCTAGACAATTACATTTCAAAATTAAAAATCGTTAGAATTATTCGCCTTCCAAGTCGTCAAGGTCTCATACGTGCAAGACTAAAAGGTGCTGCAGCAGCTAAAGGGAGTATTCTAACATTTTTAGATGCTCATTGTGAATGTACTAAGGGTTGGCTTGAGCCACTGGCTGCAAAGATTGCCCAGAACCCTTCAAATGTAGTAATGCCAGTAATAGATGAAATTAGTGATACATCATTCTACTACCATGCCGTACCTGAACCCTTTCATCGAGGGGTGTTTCGGTGGAGACTAGAATTCGGCTGGAAGCCTGTACCTCAGTATGAAATGGAAAGGAGAAAAGATGAGGCAGATGGCATAAGGTAAAACTAGTAATATGATAGTAGCTTTATTTAAAATGTATTGAATTAGAGAGGTGGTTCTGCTGACTGAGTGTGAGATCACTTGGGATAAGACTGCATACCTCTCATTTAGCAAGCAATGTACTTACCCTGGTAAATGTAACCTGGTAATTCACTTCTTCTTCTGGCTCAATGAGAACCCCTGTGAGAAGCAGGGACATTAGGGACCCTTCAATTTTTACAGGCATGGGGTGGGGGACTTTTGGGATTTGGGGATGGGAGACAAGTAAAAAAATGGCAGAATTAGGTAAATAAAAAAATTTATAACAAAATTATCCTGTTTTAATAGGGGGCCATGTAATATTATTCAGGTTGGAAAGAGGTTATACATTCTTTTTACTTACAATTCACAAAATTCCTGTAAAAAATGAGCCTTCCCTTAACCCCCCCCCTTTTACTATGAACATACTCCCAGCAATTTCTTTCTCTCATTCATTCTCTTTACTTCCTAGGACTCCAGTTATGGCGGGTGGTCTATTCTCTATTGATAGAAAATATTTTGAAAAAATTGGTACCTATGATACTGGAATGGATATCTGGGGCGGTGAGAACATAGAGATATCTTTCAGGGTAAGTCTGACGATTACTTCTACTTGCAACCTTACAATAAACCCTTGGCTTTGGTTGGCGATAAAATTATGTGCATTCCTAACGAACAATTAATTTTTGACGTGTGGGATCAGCTTTGAATCTCGTCTCTAAAGACTGCTTTTTCCTATTGAGCATGCGTTGTCACCATTTCATAAAGTACGCAATAGACTCTTGGATTTGGGTTTGCTGACTGACAATACTTGCGTTCATATATGATGAACAATGGATCTTTGACGTGTGGGATCAGCTTTGAATCTCGTCTCTAAAGACTGCTTTTTCCTAGTTAGCATGCGTATCACCATTTTATAAAATACACGATAAACCCTTGACTTGGTTTGAGATTGACAAAATGGGTTTTCATGACGAGCAATGAATCTTTGTCATGTGGGATCAGCTTTGAATCTCGTCTCTGAAGACTGCTTCTTCTTATTGAGCATGCATAGTCACGATCTCATAAAGAAAGCACTAAACCCTTGGATTTAAGTTTGCACTAAACAAGATGTGCATCATCCATAACGAGCAATGAATCTTTGTAATGTGGGATCAGCTTTCAATCTTACGTCATTAAAGACGACTATTTTCCTGGTGAGCTGGTGAACACCGTAAATTGTTTTCTTTGCAGATATGGATGTGTGGTGGCGCCATCGAGATGCTACCATGTTCTAGAGTTGGTCACGTCTTCAGACCACGATTCCCATACTCCTTCCCAGCTCGACCGGGCCACGACATTGACGTGGTCAGTAATAATCTAATGCGGGTGGCAGACGTGTGGATGGACGAATATAAAAAGCATTTTTATRATATCCGATTTGACTTAAAAAAGAAGAAACATGACGATGTGAGTGAAAGACTTGACCTGAGGAAGAGATTAAAATGTCAAAGTTTTAAATGGTATTTGGATAATGTCTACCCAGAGTTAGAAGTACCAGATACTAATTATAAAGCTGCTGGACAGGTAAGACGCTGTGGGGAGGGGAGGGAAGGGGAAACTTGGTATAGGACTCGTTGCATGTGACCTGAAAGCAGCTCKATCTAGGGGACAAAACGAAAGAATTCTAATCTCATGAGAATTGGAACCTATTGTTTTGTCCCCAAAATCGAGCTGCATTCCGACGTGCTGCAAGGGGTCTATATGGAATTCTTTGTTTCTCAGGGTTAGCCGTGATTTTGTACGTGGACATTCAAAGCGTTTGTATTGTTGAAGTTCTGCATTCTTTACTTTACTGTT